ACCGAAAAATACGGTAATTACTAATGAGAAACTTCTTTTTCGGAGACTATCGTAAGTAAGTTACATTAAGTGTCCTGTCCCAATTTGCTATTGGGTTATTGTTAAGTGAAAACTGTTCTAAATTCTTGACAGGTATAGTATCTGAAATGTATAGTATTCACTTGAATGTTGTTGCTGTAGTTTTTCTTCTTGTTTTTTTTTTTTTAAGAGTAAAGCTACACAATGTCTGCGCTCCACTGCGGAAATCGAACCACGGATTCTAGCGTTGTAAGTTCAGAAACTTTCCACTGGCCCATCGAGAGACTCGCTTGAAGGAATTCAGTTAGGTTTAAATACCCTAAATTCTCTTAAAGGACACTCTTCTTCTAATGTCGAGAAGCCAAAACTTCTCTGCATTTTCTGCCACGTTTTTTGCTGTATTATATATGTACTTGCCATCATACTTTTTCTTCAGACTGCTTTCTAAGTAGAGAATGTCTGAACGACCTTGAACACCTGCCCCCTGGTGGTTACAGCGGTCAACTGAAAGGTTATCTTGCCTGTGGCTAGTTTCAAATTCCAGTCACGCATGCGGAGTCTCACGCACATCTCTCTGTAATTGAAACGACCAGTACGTTCTATGGTTTTCGATTGATTTCAGCAAGAGCAGAAAGACGAAAGATACAACACTTTTCGTTACTTTGAACAAGTCCAGTATTCCTAACTGGCAGACTGAAATTTCAAGGCTGACTAAAGAAGTCAAGTCACATTTCACAGAGAGGAACCTGAAATGATTTGTCACATAATGTCTTTCTGAACAAATTAACTAGAAACTCACGTGATAACCTGTCATTTACTATTTCCAGTCATGTGTGGTTGACACGATTAATTCAACACCATAGGTTTCGACTCACGTATTGTAATCACTTCAAGAATAGCTCGCGGGCTTCAGTGAAGATGTCGCATACAGAAGGGCAAAACCAGTTTTAGTAACCACCTGTATGAAACTTCTCGAAACCTCTTTCGTTGGGTATACTGAACACACACATACGGCTCATATTTAATACAACGTACACGCCAGGAATGATAGAAACCAGATAGTAGACGCCACACTGCCGATAACCTAATGACGAAGTTGAGCATTGAAATGCCTACACGTACAAGATAAGAGGTTCAAATTTTTACATTGTTACAAGTCAGCAGTATTAATCATTCATCTTTACTCACCTCATGAGAATAAAGTTAGGGATTTTCTCATTATTGTTATTGTCCCTCTAGGATACAAAAAATATTCGGCAGCTTTAATTCAAATTTAAAGTTGACATGCGCAACTCTGAAACTTTACAGGACTGTCTTTGTTACACGGAAGTAGAGCATGCCTAAATGTAAAACTGTGCAGTATTGTCTTGGTATTCTGAACCGGAGCATGCCTAAATGTGAAACTGTACAGTATTGTCTTGGTATTCTGAACCGGAGCATGCCTAAATGTGAAACTTTACAGTATTGTCTTGGTATTCTGAAACGGAGCATGCCTAAATGTGAAACTGTGCAGTATTGTCTTAGTATTCTGAACCGGAGCATGCCTAAATGTGAAACTTTACAGTATTGTCTTGGTATTCTGAACCGGAGCATGCCTAAATGTGAAACTGTACAGTATTGTCTTGGTATTCTGAACCGGAGCATGCCTAAATGTGAAACTGTGCACTATTGTCTTGGTATTCTGAACAGGGACAATGCCTAAATGTGAAACTGTTCAGTTCCTACAGCTTATAAGCTGTCTTCACTCTGATCTCCCGATGATGGTGATGAAAATTTTGTTAATTTTTCTCATTTTAGAGTCTGACACGACCATCCATTCATATATATTTGTATTTATCTCGCAATAGACACAATATTTTGTTGTTGTTTTTTTACAATTATCATCCATAAGATGTTAAAGTTTTTATGGCATAATATACTTAGTTACAGTGAGCCAAAAGTAACCTGTGATTAATTAAAAACAAATGTGTGTGTGTGTCTTACTTCCTTCATAAGATAGGTTTAGATTTTCCACACATCTGAAAATGGAGGTTAAAACCACAACATAATTAACTGGGCCCTTTATGTCGTCATTATGACGTAAAGCTCGAGCTTATGTCAAAGTGTCAGCTACTGATTACGAATTTTTCTTTGTTTGTATAAAATATTCGACGATCCCGAACAAGCTGTAACAAGAATAACTATCGAAATAAATTTAAACAACAAACAAGAGGGAGTATTCAATAGCCGCGGCTACAATTAGATCTCGGTCAAGAGATGGAGCTATGAGCTAAAAGTTTGTACTTGAAAAAAAAACTTAGCTAAAGATGTGGATTAATACATTTGTTTATAACACTATGCATGTGCCAAGTTGTTCAAAGTTCGACTCTTGAACGTCGAAAGTTTATCTTCTTATATCTCATAACTTACTTTAACTAATTACATGAAAACTTTAATCAATAAGTCATTGTTACTTACCCGTGTTAGAGATCTCTTGACTAGTTCCTGGTTTCATTACTTGCGCCATCTGGAAAATAGTAATAGTTACTGTGTGTCATGAAAATAAAAAAATAAAATATTAATATTTCCAGCAGGATTGACACTGTTATGAAAATAAACTGCTTTCTCCCCCCCAAATCTAAGTAGAGTCTCAAATGTTATGGAAATAAACTGCTTTCTCTCCCCCCCCCCTCCAAATAAATTTATGTAGAGTCCAAGGTGTAAAACCATTTAAAACAGACGAACAGGCAAGCAATGAAAGGTTCATAAATACATTAGCATACTGAATGTACCTGGCTAGCTTGAACTTCAAAGGTAAAATAAACATGATTTTACAAATGTTTCAATTAAGTTAGAGCTATTCATAATGCCTACGGACGCACAACGATGAGCTTTATAACGCTATAATTAGGGGTTTTATCCCCGTGGTGGACACAACTTAGTTACCACTTTGTGTTAAAACAGAACAACCAGTTGTTTAAATTTTTTTTGTTCTTTACAGGAGAAACAAATTTTCACAAAATTAGGTCTAGCGCGGTATTGCAAAAATTATGTGTTCGTTTTATTGCGCGGCATCTTGTTAACGCCCACCTGTGGCGGAGCAGAAGGAATAAATCACAAAAAGCCGGTTTGTTTAGTACAGTAAACCCAAGACTCCTCCCGCTTCCCTCGAGTAAGAACGTGTTTGCAACCTTGGGTTAACATTCTTCTATCCTTGCTACAAAGAATCCTGACCATGTTTGGTTAAATAGTGAAATTGCTCAAGGTTGAGGTTGTTAGTATGACGTCATGCTCTATTATATCAGATGTGTGAGAGAAGTTGCGTCTATGACGTCATGCTCTATTATGTCAGATGTGTGAGAGAAGTTGCGTCTCGCGCGTCAGAAAATCGAATAACTTTCAAATAACGTTCTTTATTTATTCAGGCACGCTTGAACTTGTATATTTTAAATGTTTATTGGAAATATACAACAGATATTATTACTGATGGAATTAGAAAAAAAAAAAGAGTATCGTACAAATAATATTCGATAAACAACTCCCATGTAATCGCATATTAAAATAACTAATTTATTAATATTAATCTTCCTGATTTTGAAGCAAAATACTACTTAGACTTGAAAAAAAAAGTGCACGGTATGCTACCTGCGCTATGAATACCGCAGGTATGGAACCCCGGATTTTAGTGCTGTAAGTCCCAAGTTTACCGTAAGCCACATAAGAGCATATAAATGTATGATAGAAACGTAAATAAAATAAGCAAACAATACACCGTTAAAATATCACACATAAATATTTTTTATTAACAAACAGAACAAACATGTTAACGAAAAATAACAGAATAATAGGCTTATATAGAACCAGTAAAATCACTGTTGTCATAGTGACACAGTTGCAAACATATGTTTTTTTTTTCAATGAGTCATATTGTTTTTGATTACCTGTTTTATAGATTTCTCTTAGTCGCGGTGCCTCCTCGAGCCACCCATTCATATATTATATCTAAGCCTAAACCTAGACTGATTAACAGCAATAAAGCAAATTTCGGCGCCCGATCAGTAAAAGTGGGTTTTGTTTCGGGTTTCTTCCCATCTTTAATCCCACCACTTAACATGCTCGCCCTTTCAGCTGTGGGGGCGTTATAATGTTACAGTCAATTCCACTATTCGTTGGTAAAGCCCAAGAGTTGGAGGTGGGTGAAGACAACATATAAACAAATACAAATGTTATTCTTTAAATTTCTTTATCAAAATGAACTTATTAAGGAAAAAAATAAATGTTAGTTTAATTCATACTTAGTTCAAAGAATTTAACAAAAAAAACTTGCGGACGATTCAAGTACGTACATCTTTTTTCTCTTTTTTTTTGAGGTAAAGTAAATGGACAAAGTAATCCTCTCCAAGCTATGCAAGTTGATATTTTAAAATTAGACAGTGATTCACATCTTAAAATATACTGAATATTTCAAACCACACGGCCTTTAAAATTTGATACTGATACACCTAAATGTTTAAAAGTGAGAGTTATCTAAACACAGTATTTGGAAGCTCAGATTTTTTTGTTAAAGACTTCGAGCTCTACCACGTGTGAATACTTTTGTGATGAGTCAGCCTTTAAGTTGGGTGGCCTCTGGTATTGTATGAACGGAAATACGTGGAGTAATAATTCGTGGTTACGAGCCTCAGTTCGGGGATTGTTAAAATGCATATATAAATTTGTTATCGGGCTGGAACAAACGTAATTAGACCGAATAAAAATGGGCCGAGCGTGACTGTATATCTGAAATCCATGGTTCGCGTCCCATTTCCGCAAAAACAAAAACTAATGCGTTTTACACTTTGAAGCCGTGAGTGCGTTATAAGAATGACAGGTAAATCCTACTATTCGATTAAAGGAGCCAGAGTTAGCAATGGGTACTGTTGACTAAAATGCCTTCCCTATAGTCTGAATCTGTTAGTTAGACATTAGGGACGGCTATAATCTTTGTGTGAATATCAAAAAAATTAAAACGAAAAAAATTAATACATTAATCAGTTGTATTTATTTAACAAAATCATCTTATCTGTGGTTTTTTTTAGATAAAGTTTAAAGTTTTTTTCTTTGTTTTTCAAGCATAAAATTGTATCAACTATAGGAATCAAACTCAGAATCGTATTCTTTGAAGCTCTCAATCTTACCACTGAGTTATCGGGGTGGAACAAGTATTATAGATTATTTTCTAATTAATTACGCAACTGTTCCTAGTGTTAAACTGGAATATTCTGTAGAAGATTTAAGTCTTGCTTTAGTGCAAAATTACACAGTGGACTATCTGCGATGTGGATCGAACCTCGAATTTTAACGTTGTCAGCCTCGAAGCCTGCACTCAGCAACCAGAGAACTAAGCCTTTTAATAAAAAAAATCTACAAACATTTGATCGGTTGTTTTTTTCAACGACAATAAAGATATTTTCGTAATTTCTAACTATAATTATAATTGTTGCCCGCAAAAAAGGTTTAAATCTATCTTCAGCGAATAAAACGTTATCAACAATACATCAAACTGTAATGGTATTGAATAACACGCTATAATTCTAAGAAATGTAAATGCACAAGAGTTGAAACCAGTCAAAGTAACTAAAAGAATCATCAGAAATCAACAAATCATAGACAGTTTGCATAATAAGTGTTATCATATCTACATAATTTCGATTACAGTCCTTTTTTTTTTCTCTTGTGCTGACCAATACAAATGACTACTTTATTATTTAGAGACACTTTCGAAAGCTGTAAAATTTTACATGAATCTAAAAATATATCGCATCATTATCAACCTTGTAATCCCCCCCCCCCAAAGGGAAATACTTTGAATTAAGTACAACGGATATTGCACCTTTTCTTTGTAAAGATCTAAACAATAAAGAGTTAACGATGTGCATGATTATAAAGCTTGAACAATAATAAATGCAACGCATTTCTCTGCTGTTTTTTTTCTCTATAATTGCTATCCGCTTCACGAGTCTGACAGGACAAATAAATGATGTTTCGTCGTCCGTTAAAAGCACTTCAAATATGAACATTTCTAGAACATTATGAGAAATTTATACTTGAGAAATATTTTAATGATTGATGATAAACACCAGGTAGACTATATATATGTTTTGAAAATATTTAAATGTAACAAGAAAAAAATAGTGATACTAAAAGTTATATAAATAGCGACTTTTATATGCTAAATTTACTTGTTGAAAAGCGTTATATACTGCTTGTCAAATGTATAGGTGAAATAATAAATTTTGCGGTGGACTTACAACGCTAGAAGCCTGGTTTCGATACCCGTGGTGGATAGAGCACAGATAGCTCATTGCGCAGCTTTGTGCTTAACTAAAATAATAATAAGTTTGACATTAAATGAACTGGATTTGCATTTTTCATTTATACACGTGAAATCAATAATAGTAAAAATTGTAGCGCCGCTGAACTTTTGTGAAATTAATAATAATAATAATTGTAGCGCCGCTGAATTATCGTGAAATTAATGATATTTATAGCGCCACTGAGCTTTCGTGAAATTTATAATAATATTTGTAGCGCCGCTGAACTTTTGTGCAATTAATAATAATACTTGTAGCGCCGCTGAACTTTTGTGAAATTAATAATAATACTTGTAGCATCGCTGAACTTTCGTGACTGGTACTAAAGTTGTGTAAATTAACGAGAGTAGAATTTGATGAGCGACAAGAAGGAAGTGTCATAGTGTTTAACCTAATGCTACAGATAAGCCAATAACATTGTATTTTACTTAAATTCAATAAGAATAACAAAAGTTAGTTCTTTAATTTTTTTTTTTATAATTGACATCTACACGTTATAAATATGTACCGTGAAAAAAAAAACCAACAACAACAAAAGGCCACAAAAAATCGTATATCTTGGAACAACAAAAGGCCACAAAAAATCGTATATCTTGGAACAACAAAAGGCCACAAAAAATCGTATATCTTGGACTCGGTTGGTTTACTTTTCAATATATTTCTAACGAATCCACAAGTTCTGAATGTGGCTCACCGGTAAGTTTAAGTACTTATAGCGCTAAAATCCGAGTTTCGATACCCGCGGCACAGTGCAGATAGCTCGTTGTGTAACTTTACGCTATATCACAAACAAACAAACGGAAAAACTTGCATCTTTTAGACTGAAGATCCTGCATCTTTTAGACCAAAAATACTTTCATCTTTAAGATCGAAAAATATGTATCTTTTAGACTGAAGAACCTGCATCTTTAGACTGAAGAACCTGCATCTTTTAGACTGAAGAACCTGCATCTTTAGACTGAAAAACCTGCATCTTTTAGACTGAAGAACCTGCATCTTTTAGACTGAAGAACCTGCATCTTTTAGACCAAAAATACTTTCATCTTTAAGATCGAAAAACCTGCATCTTTAGACTGAAGAACTTGCATCTTTAGACTGAAGAACCTGCATCTTTAGACTGAAAAACCTGCATCTTTTAGACTGAAGAACTTGCATCTTTTAGACTGAAGAACCT